CATGCACTCAACGCAGCCATCTTGGTTACCTCAATCAGAATTTCTCCTTGTCACCCAGCATGCATCGATTGCGATATCGCAACAGGCACTGTGTCGCCTTGGACGACGGTCTTAGGTCCAAGGCACTCTATGAATAAGGTATTTTCAGAGGTCAGAGTTCGTTTTTTATAAGCAGTCTCGTCTGCAGATGAATAGCCTTAAATAATCAGCGCGAGTCCATTTAATTTAATTTTCTGTTTTGATACTACGTGTCACTGGCAATTGAATAAGAAAAACTGCAAATAACCGATGTGCAGCAAATCGAAATAAATTTTCATGGCGTACGCTGCATTTGTTTTTCCGGATTTTGCGATGACTCACTCCTGAAAGAACTGTTTGAAAATTGAACGCGCAACAGTAGTAAAGACTTGAACACTGTAGCGTAAGTCTCAAGTGCAACTTAGTATCAACAAATGTTCGTCTTCTGATACTTATTAGCTGTCAGAGACACATATCAATTGTCCAGCCCAATGGAAAGTCTGATTCACATCCTCTGCTCAATTTGCGACTCGAGCATAACAGTTTATCAAAACAAAACAATTTATTCAGCACGCTGTTCACCGATATATAATAGAGTGTTTTTTAGGCAAGACACACAGTAAAATGACTACTGTACACCAATAAATCAACACATTTTAGCGACAACTATCTAGTCTTCAAAAAGCAATGTAAACTCTGTCAATCCTAAAAATAAACAACAGCTTGAATGAGGTATGAATGAGATCAGTTCGAACCGCAGTTTTTATGCAAATTCGCAGTCGTCCTGAACCACACTGTCTATTGTTTAAACTTCCAAACCGCAAAACTGGGTTTTGTTCGGGCGGTTTAGGGCGGTTTGGGTTTTCATAGGTTTGACCCGCATGTTTGAATATGAGATCACCCCTAAATCTGTATATCTACATGATGTATAATGAATACATAAAATTTAAATTAAAAACTTGTCGGAGATATGGCAATAGAACTGCATTCATTAAAACAAAATAAGACGCCAGTCGGCAATTTTAAATCCAATATGAAAAATAAAATGATGTACATCAAGATCCCATAATGCCCAATGTATATACCAAGTTTCAACAAAATCCATCTGATGATTTTTCAAATGGCTTCCATTCAGCCATCTTGAATCAGATCAAGAAACAAATTGATGTGCATATGTATAATATTATGTATGGTATATGTGTGAAGTTTAAATTTAGTCAGTCTAGGCATTTCTAAGATATAGGGACGGACACACGCACACAGATTGCGTCCGAACAGGGACTAATAAACAAACTGTGTTATGCTGGACCTGAAAAGTAGCACTTGTATACTTCAGAATTCTCCATTTTTTCTATTTTGTTGACCAAACCTTTTCTTCTAAGATTTTTAAAACGATTCATTTGAAAGTTTTGTCAAAATCACTTAAGTGGTATGAGAGTTCTAGCTTTCAAGGTGATTTAATAAATTTATGAGGCAAATAAAATCATAAATTATTCGGTAATGTAGCTTTTCCTGCATTTTCTAAGAATTTTCCACATGATAGCGATACTCCAGTATAGCTAGTGTGGTCTGAATACAACTCATTTCTTTCCACATTTTGAAGATATGTTACTTCGCATTGTAAACAAATAATTCAAAGGCGTTTGCATGCGAATCAATAAATTTTCTGCCGAGTGTCAGTTTTGGTCAAATGAAAGCTCTTAATAACAAGATCACATGTTTTGATTCCGTTGTTTAAAAAACATGGCAGACAAATACTACTAGCTTCAACCTTAGCAGTGACATGCTGCAATATTGACAGGATGTGTGCTGGTCAGCAGGATGTGTGCTGGTCAGCAGGATGTGTGCTGGTCAGTGTATAATTATAATACATGTAATAGGAAAATAGTCCTGGTCGGCAACGTATTTGGTAGTGGTCATTAATTTTGAGTGTTAGTCAGAGCTGATCACCTATGACCAGTGTGATGAGATCCCCAATTGCCCCATTCATCAATCCCATAAATTCAAATTTAATTAACATATCTTTTCATTACAACCAAGAGAAGCCAAGCAGGAAGGTAGTCCATTAAAAAAAATGTAATATTAGCGATGTAATTAGAAAAGTGTTATATACTTGATGATTTGTGTTACACTTGAGTGCACAATGACAATAAGTGTATTGTGTGCATTGACTAATTAATGTAGTTATAAAAGATCCGTGTAATTATTAAAATTGGGTTTTGCAGTGTGCGAAGTAACAAGCAGCTCAGGGAAATTTAGTCATGCTTACAAAAAAAACCTTGCATTCTGAGATCAGTAATAAATATTTATTGGGGTCTTGGGACTATCATGAGGTGTGAATTGCAGACAATATTTACTAAACATTTATTTACTGAATGTTGTGAATTTTTTCAGGTTTTTATTCGATTGTTGTTTGAAATTTATTGGCTAACAATTTTCATTTATCATCCAATATAGATTCCTCTATGTTCCAAATTATAGTAGTTGGAAAAAGTTCAGAATGAGTGGAATTTTGGTGAATCCAAACATATTTCTTGCAATTTGCTCATATTCATAACATCAATGTCATGCACCAGTAATGCCCCAAAATAAAGCCATTTCCGACAACAAAATTTAGAGAAAATTCTTAAAAAATAGGGAAAAAGTTATTCTAGTAATTTGTCAACACAGTATTAAAGCATATGTGTTCTATTAGTAGCACATTACAAAATAGATGTGATATCAGAGGTAATTGTAAAGTGCCTCTAATCATGTTATAATACAGTATTTTTTTTTTTATTAGCTGTGTCAACATTCCAAAGTTCAAAGACACATGTACACAAAATAAACTTCATTCTAGTCTAGCATTTCTGATCACTGAATTGGCATACACAAATGAGTTAGCAGTGAATACTTACTTGTGAAAGCATCGGTGTAAGACTAGGATTATCAGGATGATATGCAGATGCAATGGCACCTTGATTACACCATGCGACATCCATCATGTCAGATACCTTTGTAGACAACCAAGACACGTAATACTCTTTGGGACTGTCAGTTGCATTGCAGCTTTGTGGTCTTCTGGAGATGACAAATAAAGTAGCTATAATGGACAGTCATGGCCAACAAACTTTAGATACAGAATTTCAGAAAACTATGTAAAAGCTACAAATTCATTGTGCTTTCTGTCACCCAACAAATTATCAAGACTTTGTAATGCTGTAAAGGTACATGTAGCAACAGACAGACAGACAGACTAAGCTATCCTACTGTAAGTATGCTACCATAACAAC